CATATGTACTATACATGTAATTATGTGTAGTAATAGGATACGTAATATTAGCCTATGAACTGGACATGTTAGCTTTGTTCCATAATAATCGCTTGTAAGTTTTCGTTAGCCTGAACAAAGAGACTGGAGGTCGAGCGGAAACGACCCACGCCTCTCCTAATACCGTGTTAATGGCGACTGTAAATAGCTCGGCCAGGGGGTATTTCGAGCATCTAATCAACCAGGAGACGAGGTATTGTATCAGGGTATTTTCCATGGCCGTAGTTGGCATCTGGCGATTACAGTCCGTATTCTGTATAGAGGATCCATCGGATAATTGTGTCAAGCGAACCTCACGGCGTTAAATCTTATTTTCCTGAGGACTTGGAGTGTAAGATACATGTAAAGAAAAATTTATCTATTTATCTGTTTATTATTGTTTTATTTCCATTTTTTTTTTTTTTTTTTGCTAAAATTAATGTACATTATCTTACCAAGAACACATTATTAGAACATAAGACACAATATAATGATAAAGAGACTGATCAGTTTCTTATATCTTAAGGCTATGTGGACTTCACTTTACCACCTCCTATTGGAATTAATCTGTGTCGACCTCTTAATTCGTCAGGGGTGACTAATGCAAAACTAATTTTGCATTTTAATTTCCTTATACAAGCAGGCTCACGTAAAGCTTTAACTTTAATATTAAGTTCATCATTTTATAACGCTCTACATTTGACAAAATCTACATCAACAACATATTTTTTACGTAAAACCTATAGTCAAAATAAACTGTGCTGTCATTATTTTCTCGGTATAAACTACTAATATTCAATCATTCTCCTGTCAACATGAATAATGGAACCAATAAATCAATATTTCTTGTGTCCTCTGGAAGGGAATACCGATTCACTAACCCTGAGTCCTTGTATTTTTTCTCGTGAAAATTTAGCCGTTGACAAACCAGGTTCTATATTATTTTCAGATAAAAGAACGGTGAAATAAAGAAAATAATCCAAGGATAATTACTGGATCCTTTTTTCGTTTGTTTTATAAGTGGATTTGTTTATTTTTTATTAATTTCCATAAAAAACCTTGATGTAATAATAAACTGGAAGCATATCATTGTCTCAGATACATGTAAGTATAGATATAAAGATAGATGGATAGACAGGCACATAGACGTAGAGTCATATATATTTATATGCGTCTAAATATATGCATTTATGAATAGATAGATATATGAACACACACACACACACACACACACACACACACACACACACACACACACACACACACACACACAACACACACACACACACACACACACACACACACACACACACACACACACACACACACACACACAAGAAAACAGCCACAACAAGAAATGAAATTGTGTCTATTCTCCTCTCTAAATTTGTATACACGTTACTGCATTCGTTCTTGCGTTCCCATATCAACATCTATTTATCCATTACCTATTTATCTATCACCACATCTTTTCCTGTTCTTCGTTCTCCTCATTAAGTCGGGAATTATCCCTTCTTTCAAACTGATGAGACAGTCGGATGCTGTAGAAGGCAGATTACACGAGATAATGAGACAGAGTTGCAGAACCGTTGCCGTTGGTGTCGTTGACGTAACCCAACCCACATGGAAGCAACCTGGATGCAATCCATATAGGTATCATTATACGTTATCATCATTATTATCATTATTGTGATTATCATTATCATCATTATCATTATTATCATTTTCATTATCATTAATATTATCATTATCATCATCATCATCATTATCATTATTATCATCATCATTATCATCATCATTATCATCATGATTATCATCATCAATACCATCATCATCACCATTATCATTATCATCATCATTCCCTCCATCCCTCCCACCCACACCCTTTTCTTTCTCCTTTATTTATTACATAAAGTAAAAGGGTGTGATCATTTATTATCAGTTTCAAATACGTCATACACCATTTAGTCATCAGATTCTAAATGTAACAAATATATTTTGTTTAGTATGGATGAATATAAGCTACTGCAAGAAATACTGCTTTCTGAAGTATCACATTTTACAGTAAAATTTATCTGCTTAAAATAGTTTACATTTCCATAAGTACACTTTAAATGTCAAGAAAAAAAGGAAAACTAAGTATTTAGGAAGAACCGATCAGAATGAGGACACAAAGTACAAATTATTAAAAGACTATTTTCTCTTGAGTTGCATGTGTTCAGTCCGTATGTTTATAAAGCGTACAGATCGTTAGACTTTTTGGATACTTGGCAAAGCTCAACTCCTAATTCCCAGGTAAGTGCCGAACCTCAGTTATTAATTTTCAGGTAAGTGGCAAAGCTTAGTTACTGATTCCCAGGTAATCGTAAAATCTCAATCACGAATTCCCAGGTAAGTGTTAAACCTCAATTATTAATTCCAAGGTAAGTGTCAAACCTCAATTACTATTTCTCAGGTAAGTATCAAACTTCAATTACTAATTCCCAGGTAATTGGCAAAGCTCAATTATTAATTCCCAGGAAAGTGGCAAAGCTCAAAAACAAATTCCCAGGTAAGATTCAAAGCTCAATTACTAATTCCCAGGTAAGCGTAAATGCTCAATTATAAATTTCCAGTGAAGTGACAAAGCTCAATTACTTATCCTCAGGTGAGTGTCAAAGCTAGATGACTTAGTTCAAGGTAAGTGTATAAGGTAAATTGCTAATTCCCAAGTAAGTGCCAAAGCTCAATTACTAATTCCCAATTAAGTGTCAAATCTCAATTACTGATTCCTAATTAATTGTCAAAGCTCAGTTACTAATACCAGTTAAATGTCGAAGCTCAGTGTCATTCCCAAATAAGTGTCAGAGTTCAGTGACTCATTCCCAGGTAAGTGCCAAAGCTTAATTACTAATTCCCAGGTATGTGCCAAAGCTCAGTTACTGATTCCAAGCGATGTTGGCATTTTGGCGATCTTCCCGAGAAATCTAGAGAATTTGAATGTCAGTCTGGCGGAAAAAATGTATGAGTAACTAGCGAATTTTCTTGGCAAATCTATCGGGAATTAATTGCTGTTTTACCAAATAATCTTTGTTTTCTTTCTTAGGTCGGGTTAGCGGATTTTGAAAAAAAATTAATAAATAAATAGTAGGCGATACTAATTGCAGGATGCCCTAGCTTAGCTACTGATTCCAAGGTTTGGAATTGTCAGCTTTTAACGACTTAACAATCAATAAAGTACGAAAAGTGGATCATTCAACACAAATAAAATGTTTATTATACTGTATTTTCTCTTAAAAGTGAATAGTGCTCATGTGAAAACTAAAATTTCTCTTATTGTATGGTTGTGGCTTAGGAAATTACGATGAGGGTTGTTTATTA